AGCAAATGTTTTGAGAATGATGAGGGCAACAAATGTACAAATGTGCTGGACACAATGGATGTCTGTATGGATAATGTAAGAGACGTATGAGCCCCAAGGAAATGATGAAAAAAGAAGTCTCTGAAGAAGCACTGCTCAGCTGCTGCTGAAAGTGAAACCTGTGCCTGCTCAGCTGCTGCTGAGTAGAGCGGAAGTGTGCGCCCCAGGTGTGCTGCAGTAGAACTATGCTCCAAATCACAAAACAAACCCGACTCAGCATGGCCCTAGAGGACGGAGCAGAACTGTTCCTTCTGGTTTCTGCACCTATAGATCTTTACAGGAACAAACAGCCTCATCCTTTCCTGAGGAGTGGCTGGTAGATTTGAACTGCCAATCTTACAGCTAAGATTTCTGCAATTAATAAAGAGCATAGGGTTTCTAATGGTTTTATGAAAAGTGTTCACTAGTATTTTATTTTGGAAGTACCTCTGGCGGTACTTGAACCTCTATCCTTTTGATTAGCAGCCAACCAAGTGTATTAACTGTACTGCCCAAGGATGTGACTAAATAATCAGGCTCGTTTGAAGGTGACACGTACAGTCCTGCTCTGGATTTAAAAATTCATGGATGCAGCACTTAAAAGAACCACTATGGTTTTAGGCAAACAGTGGTCACTATACATACTTTAGTGAGCTTACTATGTGTTATTTGCATGAATGAGATACATGTGTAAAAAAATTATGGATTATCAGGTTTCCATAAGACCCATACAGGAAATTTAAAGCCAACAGAAACTTTTCATCATAGAGATAATAAACTAGAGTGTTTTAAATAATAGAGGGTTTAGAATAGTAGCAGGAAAATTTGTGGATAAACAAAAGGATGAATTTTTTTACTTATGGAAAGGGGTAGTAGACTTTAGAAATACCTAACATAAAAAGACATATGCCAGTTTTCCCCTAAAACAATAAAATACTTCAAAAATGAGCTAGATTATTTTCAGCCATGACTATCGGGCAGAAGACAGTAGTTAAAAGAAAATTAATAAGACCGAGGAAACATTTTATCACTGAGGCCTCAGTGGTTAATGTTCACTATTGAAGACTACAGTAATGTTCACGACTGTCTCCCATGGGTTACTCTAACACCATAAAGCCCCCACAGCTAGTATCCTGGGTGAAATTCTTATGCTATTTGTATTGAAATAGCCTATCTGGAAACACATTTTTTAAAAATCATTTCATTGGGGGCTCATACATCTCTTATCACAATCCATACATACATCCATTATGTCAAGCACATTTTTACATTTGCTGCCATCATCATTCTCAAAACATTTGTTTTCTACTTGAGCCCTGGGTATCAGTTCCTCATTTTATAACCTCCCTCCTGCAAACACATTTTCTACTGACTAACAATGTTATCACTGGTACATAGAAAAAAGAGCCATGGTGATCCTGTGGGACTGTCTGTTAAGTTGGATTGCTGATCTTGGTTGATGGTTCAAACCCATCAGTCACACCAAAGGAGAAAGATGAGGTTCTATATTCCCCAAAGATGTATAGCCCCAGGAAACCTACGTAGGGTCACGATGGGTTTGTTTCTTTACCGGTTTGCAAAGTCAGTGGTTTAAACCTACCAGTTGATCCTTGGGAGAAAGCAGCAGCTAGCTGCTCCAGTTAAGATTTATAGTCTTAGAAACCCTGGCATTAGTCTTATCATCATTCAGTTAAAATTGACTTGATGGCAGTAGGTTTGTTTTATTTTTATCATGAGGCCAAGGAGAAACTAGTATATAGAAACCAGTGTAAAACTTCGGGATTCCCCACCCCACCCCCACCTTATTCTGTCACTACTGCCTACCCTTCAAGGTCCTGCTCAGATATCACTCCACTGAGAAGGTCTGCTCAGAAGCCCTGTCCATCAGGATTACTCTGCTTTCACCATGTTTTCTGTGCTATCGTCTCACACTATATTTGTTTCTGTCTCCTCTAACCGACTATGAGGTCTTGAAGGGCTGTATTTATCTTTGTTTTCTTCCGCACTCAGACATGTGTCTTGCAGATAACAGGGGCATTTATGTTAAGACATTACCTCAAGTCTTGGCCATTGTCATCAGAAGCCACATCTTCCACATGTACCTGGTCACATTCCTGTTAAAAGACAAAAACAACATACTCTTTCAGTGGAGGGAATAGAGGTGTTATCACTACCATAATTTATTAAAAAAGACCACATAAAATAACAGGATGATGAACAGGCTCTCTTACATGTAAAGGATCACTCTCACCCCCCTTGCTGTCCAACTTCTTTTAAGACTTCATTCAGGTCCTATACTCTTTATGAAATCTTCTTGAACCATCCCAACCTGCAGTAAGGCTCTTAGCTCAATAGTTCCATTTCTCCTCAGTTCATGCACAGAAATGTTAAGTGTCCTCACACTGTCAGGTATATGTTTACATTCTACATTAGACTCTAAGTCCTTTTAACCTGCAGGCCTCTTCGGGCAGTACCCACAGCTCACATCTCCTTGGTACCCTTACTCTAGTACACAGACTCTGGTGCAGTGCCGTTTCTATACTGAGAATGACTGTAACAGAAACCTAGAAATTTAATTTAGGAGTTAGGAGAGATCATCCCAGTTAGTCTCCTCATGCTCTAAAATGAGTGACAAGACTTATCACATGTCATACAGCTTGTAAGTGGTAGAAAGAGACCAAAAAGAAACTGAGTCTTTTGATTCTAATCCAAGGCTTTTTCTACCAAGCCCACGTGACAAACATAAATGTTACTCATGGCCCAACTCTTGACAATTCACTCTTCTGACACCACTTAGGGCGGTGTTTTTCAAAGTGAGGTCCACCTGCATCAGAATCCTCTGGGGCAGTTAAAAAACATGTATATCCTTGGGCTCACAGCAGACCTACTTGAATCAGAATTTCTGGTAGGGAAGCCCTAGAATTTACATATTTAGAAACAAGCATCCCAGGTGATTCCTATGCACCCTAGAGTTGAGAACCACTGACCTGGGGGCAGGAACACATTCAGGCCAAATTCTTCACAGAACTTTCAGTCCTGAGTGAGGACTATGTCTAGAAAATCATTACAAATACAATTTGGCAATAATTATCGGCACACAGTAGTTTCAATAAATGTTTGCTGAATAAAAACTATGATATCCTAACATGAATATGTGAAGTCAAGGGAAGATTAAAGTATTATTGTAGTTTAGATAGAAGTACTGGAGCTTAGAGTTTGCTCATTTTACTGGTTGGAGGATTTTATGTTGAGTAGAACTACATTATATTTTTAAATGAACATGATTACTTTGTAAAATGTTGCTTTATATTACAGTATAAACTTGTACTTTAAAAAAGAAATAAAAATAAACTTGCACTTTTAAAAAACTAGGCAATATGTATAATACACAAGGAGCTCGGGTAGCTCTGTGGGTTAGGCACTGGGCTGCTGACTGGTTTATATCTGTAAGTTCAAATTCAAAAGGGCACACAGAGAAAAGTCTGCTTCCTCCCACCTCTGTGTCCCAGCTATTCAAATCCCTCTTTAGCTACAACAACCATTGCTAGTTTCTTCTTAAGGGTAACTTCTTAACTGAGGCCCATAATGGAGAAGTAACTTTCTAACCTGGGACTTTGTCTTGTGACTCCGTTTTGTGCTCTATGGTGAACTAATTATCACAGCTGACGACAGTTACCATCAAGCTCTTAGTGTATCCCAATTTTACTTGCCCTTAACTATAAAATGATTCTCAAATCAAGGTTAACCTATTTGTGGGTAAATGTTCTCCATTTATAGAACAGGCAAATCTACAGACTATCTTATAAGAAGGTAAAATTGAGATTTTCCCACACACCTTTTGAAGGCCCCTTCATACGTGTAATTTAATAGATTAATGAATTGATTTACATACCAATAAACATTGGTATGTTAGATTAATTGGCATCTCCTCAGAGCTACATTGTTCCCAAATAAGCTAATGAAAATAACAATTTTCACAAAGGGAATGGAGGGCTAGGGCCAAAGCGTGGTGACTCGACCAGGACTCAACCAGAGTGCTAATCCTGTAAGACTAGGAGTTCCTACCTGGATAGCTGCTTCCCTCGAACTTTCCTTGTTAACCACATCACTTCAAAATGTAGTAAGCACAGGCCCAGCACAAGAGGCTGAACAGACATCTCATGGAAACACAAACGATCATGATGCTTACCTCTAAGTCATTGAAAAACAGATGGGTATCTGCCACTTCAAAAATCATTTCTTCCATTGTCAAACCTGAGCCAATCACTACTGTTGGGTCCTGGAAGTCAGTAAAACAAACAAACACTTGTTTGACCTGGCACTCATTAGCACTGGTTCTGATTTTTCAGTATCTCAAAATTATATCGGGTCAAGGGCAATATAGCACATCCCCACAATAACGAGTTAAACTATTACTGATATAATTTAACTCAGAGTCATACGAACTTAGAATTGTGCCACAGAGAAGATTACAGACAGTTAAAAAAATCCAGGATGTTAGTTTCAAGAAACTAGTGAGTCAGTATTACATAAATAGTTGGGGACAAAGAAGAGGGTTTAAACATTTTTTTAATCATCATTGCTTTAGTAAAAAACTATCCAGAATTCCCCTTTAGTGACTTCCTCTCACTTAAAATACAAAACCCAATGTTTTTTGAAATGCCCTATTCCAGAAGAAGTTATATTTGCTAAAATACTATTGTAACGTCCATTTTATCCTCTGTACTGGCATGCACACGTGTGTACACACAGAGTATAGCAACTAAAATCTTGTTTGACCAAATCGGCAATCAGAAAGTTAAACAAAGAAAGGTTGAAGAGTCAAACTATTTGTAGGGAAATCAATGCACTTTGACCAGGCCTTCATCTAGAGCAGCGGTTCTGAACTTTCCTAATGCTGCGACCCTTTAATATAGCTCCTCATACTGTGGTGACCCCAAACATAAACTTATTTTCGTTGCTACTTCATAACTGTAGCTTTGCTACTGTTATGAATCGGGCGACCCTTGGGAAAGGGTTGTCCGACCCCCACAGGAGTTACGACCCACAGGTGGAGAACCACTGGTCTAGAGAGCTATCCGCTCTTATTTTATATACTTTAAAACTAGCCTAGCCATAAAGCTTACGGGAGCTTCCAACCTAGATATTAAAAGCCTTTGGAAAATACTTCTAACAAATATACTAATGACAAAAAGAAATAATTGAGAGTAGTAAGAGAAAGATAGATACATTTTTATAAATTTCATTTACAGAAATCAAAAAACAGAGGCTGCAGGTAATTTAGGATAGAAATATGCAGTTTTATGCAGCTAAAACAGCTGCTTAAAAAAACCTAAAACAGGAACCGATTACATGGAACTGTGTGTGACCTCCTCCCTGGGGGACAGACAACCAAAAAGTGGATGAAGGGAGACGTCGGACAGGGCAAGATATGACAAAATACCCATTTATAAACTATCAAGGGCTCATGTGGGAGCGGGGAGCGGGGAGGGAGGGGAAAAATGAGGACCTAATGTCGGGGGTTTCAACGGAGAGAAAATGTTTTGAGAAACGATGTACAAATGCGCTTTACACAATTGATGTGTGTATGGATTGGGATAACAGTTGTATGAGCCCCTAATAAAATGTTAAAAAAAATAAAAAATAAAAAAATAAAAGCATGTTACTGGGAAAAAAAAAAAAATTATACAAAATTACAAAAATAAAGTTGGGGTGAATACAGTACATGTATGGAAATAGAAAAGAAATCATAAAATACAATAAAAACTATGGTAAACATAAAAAAAAAAACCTAAAACAGCTAATCACTCTATTAAAATTCACATTTGTACTATAAATAAGTTGGTATGTTTAATTTAAAAAGGACGTGAAGTATATAATGTTTTATACATTACATATATGTTAATATATATATGTATATATATGTGTGTGTGCGTGTATCTATCTATCTATCTATCTTGTATTTACTTAGCTTGGTCTGAGCACTTAAGAGTGATCAGGGATTATAGATCAATATTCCTTGGAATATATGACTACCTGCTCTGTTCTGAGCCTCATTCCTAAATCGAATCTTTACAGAATGTCAGTCCTGAACTGCTTCTGTTTTGGGGATTGGTCCTGGCTCTGGCTTCTACCATTACCACCAATCCTGCACTTGACCACGTGGTCTGTCTGATACAAACCAACTGGTGAAATTTACATGAAAAGTGAAAAGCCAATAGGGGTGAGTAAAGGTGGCAGAGATAATTGAGTTACCCATCCATGTATAGTTATGACAAAGAAAGAAAGGCCCAAATTACCTTTCCATACTTCTGGGCATAGGATCCAGTAAGGAGGGAGTGAAAGATGATGATGGTTTCATCTAAGTCCCATAGAAAAACCCGCTGTGGGAGTAAAACATAAGAGATAAAGAGTGCCTAGGTTCCCCCAAGAAATACATCAGAACTCTAGCCTTTACGAACAAAGGAAAAGAGAGGCTCCTAACACAGCTTTACTGTATCTCTGTCTTTGCAACACCTACCAACCGATTTTATAGACAGCCTTTGTCTTTAATAGAGGGCGGTTATAAAAAAAAAAACAGTTAACAAAAAGATAACATAAGAATCCCACCAATATCAACATTTGTGGATCACTTTCTAGTCTAATTTGTCCATAGAAAGTTCCTGTAATGCTTACATCAACGAATAACTGGATGCCAATATTATTAAAAAGCTATCTGACCTGGCTGCATGTCTCACAGAAACTTGGCCTAAAGTAATCCCAAAACTTCTGATTTTGATATTTTAAAATGGGGAACAGCACAAAATCAGAAAGTTCAAAGACACCCCTTGCCTTCTAATTTTGATGCATATTCTTTCTGTTGTTCTATTTCTCTTGCCCAGAAATTAAAGCATGCATGGCCCAAACCCACACTATTTCTACTAGCTTTATACTTTTATCTGCTTATAAAAAAGTTTACAAACGTAATAAATAAGAAAGAAAGAAGTAGTAACTCAAATGAGTTACTTCCCATACTTCTAATTCACTGTCCTGTGACGAGCTGGCATCAGCTTTCCTCTTGCCCCGGTTCTTGCCTGTCATGTTTTTCCTGGACTGGTCGTCAGCATCTTTACTTGTTGTTTGGGCCAAAGATGGACTTGTAGAAGGGTCTCCTAGAAATAGAAAAAACAACAAACAAACAAACAAAATATCTCATGGTCATCAGGTGTACTCAGACTCATAGCGAGCCTGTAGGACAGGGTAAAATTGCCCTTGTGAGTATCCTAGACCTAGACTATAACTTTTTAAAAAATTAATTAATTTTTAATCGTTTTATTAGGGGCTCATACAACTCTTATCACAATCCATACATACATCAATTGTGTAAAGCACATTTGTACATTCATTGCCCTCGTCATTCTCAAAACATTTGCTCTCCATTTAAGCCCCCGGCATCAGGTCCTCATTTTTTCCCCCTCCCTCATGAGCTCCTGATAATTTATAAATTATTATTTTGTCATATCTTGCACTGTCCGACGTCTCCCTTCACCCACTTTTCTGTTTAGACTATAACTCTTTATGGGAATAGACAGTCTCAACTTTTGCTTGAAATGGAAAGTGAGGCATCTATCGCCAGTCTTCACAGGTTCCATGATCCTGAGGAGGAAGCGGGCCTTCTGTAGGCTCTTTGCAGGGACAGAGAGAAAACAACTTTAAGCAATCTGGGTTGTAGACCGAGGCACTGAGAATCACAGCAGCTAACCACAAAGAGAATGGTAATTGGACATTTTATGCCTGATTCCTAGTAGAAGTATTTTTGCAAAATATAAATGAATAGAACCGTAGTCTTCTTAAGCACCCAGAGATCAGGGTTTCTCAACTTGGCATTGTGGACATTTTGGACCAGATAATTTCTTATTGTGGGGAGATGTTCTTTAGCAGCATCCTAAAACTTTAGCCACTAGATGCCAGTAGCACACCTATACCTAGAGTGACCCTGCCAGCTGTCTCAGGGTGATGAGGGAGAACATTTTTTCCAGTTGGATCAACTTACCAGTTTACTGAAAGCATCAGAACATGTTAAACTGCCCTAACAATGAAATAATCAGCAAAACCCAGACTGGGACACAGTCACAGGAAAAAAAATTCAGTTTTTTCAACATATGAATTAGGGATATGGGAAAGAGAAGGGAATTGATAGGCTAAAGAGATGGGAAATACATATCTACCAATCACAATGCATGGACTTTATTTGGATCTTAATTTAAACAAATTATAAAAAGAAATACAAAATTCATTTATTACATTGCTAAGGCAACTGGAAACAGGATAACTTATTGGATGTTTGATGAAGTTGAATAATACTTTCTTAATTATTTTTTAGTTATAATATGGCATTCTCATTATATTAATAAGTACTTATCTTTTAGAGACATGATGTTAGGTATTTGTTTCAGGATAATATAGTGAGAAATTGAATGATGTGTAAACTGAAGCCTGTGAAGGTTAATTGTTGACTCTAGAAGATGGGTGTTCATTATACTATAATGACAATTTTTTTCTATTTAAAATTTTTTCCATTATCAGAAAGTTCAAAGTGCTATAAAGAACAAAGCTATTTAGAAAGATGAAAACAAAATGAAGACATCATCACATCACATGTAAGTATTTAAACATTACAGAGCTTTGAGACAGTGATCATTCATTCATATATCCATTTCCCTAATGAGACTAGCAATTCCCAGATTGTTCAAGGAAGTTGTTCAGAAATTTGTGTTAGCTGAGGGAGAGCACTTAAAAAAAATGCATCAATGCATTTCTCAAGTGACATACAAGAGGGCTTCAAAAGGTTTATGGAAAAATTCCATTATCCTGTAATTAAAATTTTCCACGAACTTTATTAAGCCCCCTATGTTTATATTTACTGACTCTGAAGTATAAAGCCTTTATTTCAGGGATTTTTAAGTTGGGCATCATAATTCACAGATATAATTCAGAGCTGTCAATCTCCCAAAATTGAAGGTTATATTTTAGTCCTTTGAATTTTAAAGGGCATCATGACCCAGAAAAGGTTAAGAACAACTCTTTTCAGGTCTCAGAGGAGTCTGAAATGTGCAGGTTAAAACTGGAATTCTCTAACTTGAACACAATGTGCCAAGGTTCTGAAGCTCCCTGTGACAAGCCCCCTGTGACAAGCATGGGGTGGGAGTCATAAGAACAGACTTTTAATTATTGGTATTTTACTGTTTACAGCATCAGGTATTACAATTAGCCTATAATATTCTGCCAGTGAGAAATCAGTCTGGTTCCAATGCCTAAATATTCCCCACCCTTGAGGGAAAGGGACTAAGTTCAGAATAAAGAACTTTCACTATCATCTAAAACTGCCTGCTATATTAAGTGCCCTTAAACTAAAGTTTTCAAAGCAGGGCTGCTTACCAGAGGAAACTCTCTGTGCTGCAGGTGCCATGACGGCAGGCTTCTCTGTCTGGTAGGTGTTACTCTCAGCATCACTGTTAGCTTGGCCTGTGACTCCAAAGCTGGAGCTGGGGTAGCATGCCTGGTACTGACTCTGACCAAGGATGGTATAAGTGGGATAGTCCTGTAGACAAAAGGGAATAAAGGAAGAAACAATATTCTTAGAAAGAGTCTAACATTAATTTAAATACAAGGCTTTATCTCCATTATTCATAGCGGCATTCCTAAAACATTCAATTAGTATCTCCACTTGCCCATCTTCTAACTAAATCAATGATCAAAATGTACTCTGTAGAACTCAAGAGGCAGGGGTTGACTTTGAGGTTGGGGGTGACTGAGAGGGAGAAGTTCCATGCACTATACCTACAATGTCCTTTTTCAATAAACCAGCTCATCTGGGGTCAAATTTATCTACTGAATTTCTGTATAACTTACTACATGGAATCTTTAAAAAGATTTTATTCTTTTTCAGTGATTTCACAGGCATGTAAATGTCAAAACTTATCAAATTGTACAATTTAAATATGTAGTTTATTATGTCACTTATACCTTACAATTATTTTTAAATTTGGCTATGACAGAGAGTTCAAATACACATTAAAAAAAATTCCACTGACATGGATGGGTTATGAAGAAGCTACTTGATTATGCAAGCATTTAAAGTTACTGAGCTGCATTTATGCAGCAAGAGAAGAGACTATTAAAAAGAAGGATAAATCATATTAGTTGAACTCAAGGGAATTAAATAATCTAGCAAGAGAGATTTTAAAAAAATCTAACAATGTAACAATAAATATCTACTAAATAAGTGAGCAACCGGGGAAAATACTGTCCTGGGGGCAAGGACAGAGTGCTTTCTGAGATAATAGCAGGTAGGTCCTGAAAAAGCTTTATTACAAAGCAAAAGTTTTCTTAAAGGGCATGAGATATTGAGCTCAGTCAAAAGAAAAGATCCTTGTGGGTTTTTGAATGGTGGGGTTTCGAATACTAAGGAATATGAGTTCAAATGTCACCTAGGCAATTGTGTATAGCTTGCGTGGGGGCAAAGAAATATGGGCTACCATATTCAAACCACCAAATAAAAACACTAAAAGACATTGAGCAGGTGAGTTTTTGAAAAATATTAATCAGATGGGTTTTAGAAAATGGATAGCAGTGTAAAACTGGAGACGAGACAATCAGCCATAATAATGTAGAAGCTTTTGAAGAGTACTGGTAGCAAAAACAGAAAGAGAAGAAATCTCAGAAATCTGACCCAGGGAATGGTGTGGGAGGAAAGGAGCCCAGGGTGGCACAGTGGGTATGAGCTGGCTGCTGGGTGGTGACCCACCATTATACAATCAGGCGCTCGCTCCCACAGGAGAAAGATGAGGCTTTTTGCTCTTGTGAGGGGTTACCGTCTCGGAAGTCGACAGGGGCAGTTCTACTCTGCCCTCCAGGGTCACTGTCAGTCAGTGTTGATGTCATGGCAGTGGGTTTGAGTTTTGATTGGGAGAACAAATGGAAGATGACTAGTCAGGCTTTACGCATAAGTTTAAGAAATCTAGTGTCACTGACAAAAACTGTGAACTCATAGGGAAAAGTAGTTTTACTTTTGGAGAGCTAAGAACCAGGAAAGAAATGGATTGAAAAGCTGGTGTTAGATATACTAAATTTAGGCAATTACCAGGAACATTAAAAAAATCATGTCCATTAATCAGTTGGTATCCTGGAGATTTTATGAGGCCAGGACTAGAAAATTCATTTAGGAGATTCTAGGTGGATGTTGTGTGGAAAATCATTCCTGAGCACAAAATAATTAAATATATCGAAAACAAATACAGGTCATCAATGTTAGAACACAGGATCAAAAAGAAGACCTGTGAAAATGAGACATATATAGACTGCACCCCAAGTAGTACTAAGTACATAGTAGGTGCTCAAAAAATATTTATAAATTAAAATAATCAGTATATACACAAACAGGCAAATCATAAAAGAATGAGCCAGAATAGCACTATTAACTGTGGAAAGAAAGAAAAGAGCCACGGAGAGTTTGACAATAACAGGAATATATCTTTACCTTCATTGAACTTACATTGCAGTGGATGTAGGGTAGGGGATGGAGATATACACAGTACATAAACAGTGGTGAGAGACAGTGGATGTAGGGTAGGCGATGGAGACATACACAGTGGTGAGAGATGTGGGTTTGATAAAAGCCTGTGAAACTAGCTAGGTTCCCAGTTCTAAGATATCCAGAGCAGAGTCTGATGGCTGCTTCTTAGAAGGGCATATTGATCACAGGAAAGAAAAATGAAGAATGAGCTAGCTTGATGATCTAATCAAACAGGATTAACAAAAGTAACACTGTACCTGGTTTGAGATGCTAGCAACTGCTGCAGCGGGGATATTGGCAATTGTAGATGAAGTGGATATTAGGCTGGCATTTGTGCTTGAAGCTATAGGATCGACAATGTTAAAATGTATTAATTGCTAAGTTTAAAAAGGCTATAAGACATTGAAAATATATTGAGAGTATTTCTAAAAGGAAATAAGTAATTTTAGCACAGAAAACAGATTTTGTTTAACGTGCCATTCAATTCAGACTTGATTAGAAGTAAAACACTTCAAATATTTTGTTTCAACTGTATCTTTATCTCTTATAACACCCAAAAAGGATGCAAACACAATGACCTGGTTCATACTATGGAGTCTAATGAAATCAGAAGCTAAACCAAATCACTATAGTCCATTTTCACTAGTGGTTGCAAAATGACTCACCTGCAATGTAACCTACTGACAATCATCAGTGGAGACAGGAGCTCTAGAAATTCCACTTGTAAACCTAGTACTTTGATATTGTTTATTGTCACTCACCTTGCTGCCATCATCAGGCAAACTCATAGCGACTCTACAGGAAAGGGTAGAACTGCCCCTGTGAGTTTCCAGTACCGTTTAACTGTTAATGCGAATAGAAAGCCCCATCTTTATCCTGAGTAGCGACTGGTGTTTTCGAATTGCTGACCTTGTGGATCGCAGCCCAACTTGTAACCACTATGCCACCTCGGCTCCTTATTGTTACTAGTTTTATACTATGTCTTTCCTGAGGAAACCTAATTACTTTGGGGAAGAAGACCTGGTCATACAAATTTTAAAGTGCTTGGAATTTCTTCTCAGGCTTTACTCAAATTAAGAGATCATGCATGAAGATCACTTGTCTGTCAGTCTGTCATACTGTGGTGGCTTGTGTGTTGCTGTGTCACTGGTTTTTCAGATGCCAGCAGGGTCATCCAAAGTGATTCAATTTCAATGCAACTTCCAGACTAAGAACAATGAAGAAGGATGGAGGAAGAAGTCACTGAACATCGGGTGCATAGCTTTGAAGCATTTTCATATACTGAAAGCCTAAACAAAGGACGCAGAACATTGTTGGAGATACTGCTGGTAGATGGGTCTCTCAGGTCCGAGGGCACGCGAAAAGTGACTGAAGGGCAGATGACTTCCTGAAGGTGAGCTGACTATGGTAACAGGAGTCTGGTAAAGCCTGTGGAGCAGACCCTTTGGGATTTTCCTTTGCTGGCAATACTACAATCAAGAGGAATGGAGTGGCATTCATTGTCAGAATGGGTCTTCCCAATTCATCAGGAAATTCACTGCTATCTGTGATCAGATGATCTCTATCTAACTTCAAGGAATCCAGCCAATACAAATATTATTTACATTTACACACCAACCACAAAAACTAGTGATGAAGAAATCATGATGTCAGTTGGAAATTGATTAAACATGCAATTAATAGTTACTGGTGATGGGAATGCAAAAGTTGGAAACAAAGAGGAAGGAATAGTTGGAAATAGACTTGGTGACAGAAATGAAGCTAGACATTGCATGATAGAATTTTGCAAAACCAACGACTTGTTCATAGCAAACAGCTTTTTTTCAACAACACAAGAGGACTTCTTCAGACGGAATACATAGACATTAAATTGAGAATGTCTGTGTGAAGACAAACTGGAGAAGCTCAATATCAGCAGCTAAAATCAGACCGGGGCTGACTGTGGAACAGACCATCAATTGCTCATATGTAAGTTCAGGACAAAGCTGAAGAAAATGAGAACATGTGCACAGCCAAAATACAGCCTTGAGTCTATCCCATCTGAATTTTGAGAACATGTCAAGAATAGTTTTGATGCATTGAACACTAAAGACAGAAGACTTGATGAGCTAGCTGTGGGGGGACATCACGACTATCATTCATGAAGAAGCTAAAGGTCTTTAAAAGGACATAAAGAAAAGATCAAAGTGGATATTAGAAGAGACTCTGAAACTTGCACTTAATTGTAGAGTAACGAAAGCAAATGAAAGAAAGAAAGAAAGAAGTCAAGGAGCTGAACAGAAAATGTCTAAGGGCAGCTTGAAAACAAAGGCAAACATTATAACTGTACCAAGGACCTAGAATTAGAAAACCAAAAGGGAAGAGCAGCATATCTAAAACTGAAAGAACTCAAGAAAAAAAAAAGTCAAGCTCTGAATTGCAATTCTGAAAGATTCTATACATAAAATATTGAATGATGCAGGAAGCATCAAAAGAAGTCAGAAAGAATACACAGAGTCACTGTACCAAAAAGACCCAGTCACCAGTCCACCGTGTCAGGTGGTAGCAGATAAGCAAGAACCAATGGTCCTGGAGGAAGAAGTTCAAGCTGCACTGAACAAGCCAAAACATGGCAAAACAAGCCAAAAACAAGGCTCCAGGAATTGACGGAATACCCATTTAAATGTTTCAGAAAGCTCAAGAAGCACTGGAAGCACTCACTCATCTATGCCAGGAAACTGGAAAGACAGCTACCTGGCCAACTGATTGGAAGAGATCCATATTTGTGCTCACTTCAAAGAAAGGTGATCAAACAGATTGGTCAAACTGTAGAACAGAAGTAAAATTCTACTTTAGATCATCCAATAGCGATTGTAATAGCACACTGACAGTCAGGGCATTTCCATAAGGTCAGGCCAGATTTCAAAGAGGATGTGAAACAAGGGATATCACTGATGATGTCAGAGGGATCTTGGCTCAAAGCAGAGAGTACCAGAAGAGAGTGTACCAGAAAGATGTTTACTTGTGTTTTGTTGACTATGCAAAGCCATTTGACTGTGTGGATCTTAAAACACTGTGGATCACCTTGAGAAGAATGGGAATCCTTGATCACTTCATTGTGCTCATTCAGAACTTGTACATGGATTAAGAGGCAGTTATGTGAACACAACAAGGGAACTGCATGGTTTAAAATGAGGAAAGGTGTGCATCAGGGTGGTATCCTCTCACTTAACTTGTTCAATCTATAGCAGCGGTTCTCAGCCTGTGAGTCGCAACCCCTTTGGGGTGAACAACCTTTCACAGGGGTCACCTGATCCATAACAGTAGCAAAATTACAGTTATGAAGTAGCAATGAAAATAAATTTATGGTTGGGGGGGTCACTACCACATGAGGAACTGTATTAAAGGGTCAAGGCATTAGGAAGGTTGAGAACCACTGATCTATATGCTGAGCAAATCATCAGAGACGCTGGATTATATAAAGAAGAATGTGGCATTAGGATTGCAGGAAGGCTTATTAACAACCTTCGGTATGCAGATGACACAACCTTGCAAAGATGTTACTTTGAGGACTAAGGTGTGCCTGACCCACGCCATGGTAGTCTCCACTGCATTACATGCATGTGAAAGTTGGACACTGAGTAAGGAAGATCACTGAAGAATCGATGCGTGTGAAGGGTGGTGCTGGAGAAGAATAGTGAAATGACCATGGACTACTAAAAGGACAAACAGATCTCCTTAGAGATACAGAGTGCTCCTTAAGAGGCAAGGATGGCAAGACTTCATCTTACATACTTTGGACATGCTTGTCAGGAGAGACCAGTCCCTGGAGAAGGACATCATGTTCACTAAAGCAGAGGGGCAGGGAAAAAAAGGAAAGCCCTCAAGGAAATGGATTGACACAGTGGCTGCAGAAATGGGCTTCGTAACAATTGTGAGGATGGCACAGAACCGTGCTGTGTTTCGTTCTGTTGTGCACAGGGTTGCTCTAGGTGGAAGCGGACTTGATGGCACCTAACAACAACAACAACAACAACAACGATGATCAACAACCACAAATCTGGAATCTAGAGATGTATCAATAAGCTTGGAAAAAAACAGAAAATATTTTGGCCAAGTAAAAATGTACTATTTAAGCTACGTGGGGCTGCCTAGCTTAAGACAAAAAGATAAGAAAATATTAAACAAATTTTCCTATCCTATCAGATTTCACTAAGGTTTCAGGGAACAATTAAAGAAAAAATACACAAGAAGATGTTAAAGCCTCAGTAACTGACAAATGTCACACTAGTTCTTTTCAGAAGGATAGAGTAACTATCTTGCTATCTTGAACTTCTCTCCCTTATCTAAACACACTTAGACATGGCTCTGACAGCAGTCACACATACTATTACATTACAGGTTTAACATCAGGATCCAATTTAAGAGTATTAAATACTATCAAAACTATTAAATACTCAAACACGACTTCATTAGTAATAAAGTCCTCTAGGAGAAAGTTAACAGGAAACTTTCCATTAATAACCAAGCAACTAGGCTACGACAAAAAAGTATCCAACTCACAATAGGGGAAGTAGAGCTATTCCTTTTGTAAATGACATGATCTTATAAGTAGAAAACCCTAAAGTACTCACAAGAAACTTTTAGAACTAACAAATGAATTTAACAAAATATCAGAGTAAAGGTCAACACAATAAAATCAGTGGGTTTCTATGCACCATCAATAAATAAGCAGAAAAGAAAATTAAGAAAACATTATCATTCACAGCAGTAACAAAAATAATAATCCAGAAATGAATTCAACTGTCCTTTTTTTTTCCCAATTGTCTTTTTGTTAAAGGTTTGCTCCAAGGTTATAAACCAACCTTGCTCCAAGTGAAATTCATTCAAACAGGTATACAAACCACAGCGCGCCTTACCCCAAACACAACTATGATTAAAACAGTAGTTGCCTGAATGTTTTGATCAAGAACTCAGTAGGTGAATCCTGATCAAAAGGGGTAAACATGTGGAACAGAATTTTAATTCTTATAGAATCCAGACTTACTGAATCCACTGAGACTCGAGGAATCCCTAAATTTATTACCCCGAGAACACCTTTTTAAAATCTTGAACCAAATCTATTCCCTGAAGTCATAAATCAACAACAGTAAGTGTAAAGCATGGATGAGAAGTTTAAGGGGTAGTATAAGTCAATAGTGGTAAAACAACATGGGTTGAGATGGCCAAATTATGACATGAAGAATGTAGTCAAACTGAGTGTGGAGTAGTGTACTCAGCAA